GTAGAACGTACAGCTGTACAACCTGCACAACTCACATGTTCAGTGTACACATCATTATTGCCACTGTAAGTATATTATCAACTGTGAGCTGGCTTATAAACACAGTGTCATCTTCCATCTGTGAGGTCTCCTTTTCCCTGTACCCCTGTTCCACGGAAATAAAGCTGTCACGTTGAGTATTTTTAACACCAGAGGGGCTGATTGTGGGCTGGTGCTCATGTTAATCTCTTCAGATACAGAGGAGCCTCGGTATGTCTGCGTATGGCTCTCGCAGCCTCGAGTGAGTGATTGTTCCGTTACGTGAGTGTAAGCAGCCTGATGTTTTTGGCCCGCTTCTCTTTCCTCACTCACACTTACACTGGCAAAAGCTCAGCATACCTATTTTTGGCTGCTTTAAAAGGAATTGCTTTTGAGTTATTGTGTTTTTGCCACATGGGTAAGAGTTTGCAGTACATAGTCACTGAAAAGGAATCTGGATTGCGTGAGGATGAGTGTGAGTGTTGAAGTGAATTAGTGGGAGAAATTTATAAAGGGTTCAGTGTTAACTGATTAATCCATTATGCCATTAAGTTAAACCATTCTGTGCTGGACACAAGCAGGCAGAAGTCTGGACTGAGAACGACGATGTCCAGTGTGACAGCAGTTATGTCATCTCTGTCTCACTGTCACATAAACCCTTTTGTTTACGTGACACAAACATGTGAACACACACATACACACACATGCTGGACTGGTCTGTGCTCACAGTTGTGAAACTTTTGAAATAACTTGTTTTGTAGTTATGTATCTTTTGGTTGTATTTTTTACACATTTTTCAAGGTTTCATTTCATATGTATTGCCTGCTTTATTGGTCTCATTTTTAGCATACATTTTTATTTATTAATAGAGAAATTGGTGGCTTGGCGGTCTCCGGGAGTTACACTACTGTCCTCTTGGAATAAGTGATACTGTTACTACTGCTGTGGCACTATGCAGCTGCAGCTGTGACTTTCTTTATTATTTTTCTAGTTTCCACTCTGGGGATTGAAAAAGTTATCTAGTCTTACACTAGCACAGATGCAGTAGCAGCAAGAGACACAAAATGATTATTATAAGTGCATAATTTTATGTTCTCTCTTTCTCTGACTCTGCAGCTGGCTGACTTTGGCCTTTCCAATCACTTCCAGAGGGGTACTCTGCTGCAGACCTACTGTGGAAGTCCACTCTATGCTGCCCCAGAGATAGTGAAAGGACTGCCCTACCAGGGACCAGAGGTGGGTCTACACCATTGACATGTGATTAGTTGACAGAGCTTCTGGGTCTCTGACGTGAAGCCAACATGGAAGTGTCTTAAACCTCTCTAATGGCCAGCAGGGGACAGCTCCATGGGCTGCAGAAAAAGTAGTCTGGTAGTATTGAGCCTCATGGAGAAATTACCCCAATTCTTACTTGATTTATCATCTTGTTAAACATAATAAGTTTATTTATAGTTTATATGACAATTTTGTGTCGTGTGCAGTGCTGATCAAATATGAATCAAGATTGTGGTACTGCATTGCCCTTTTCTCACTTCTTTTCACAAACATACATACAAACACATAATATGTTAGAACTTGTGTGGCCAGGTAAGACGCCATTTCCTGTTTCCTGCTATGCACTTGAATCTAAGTGCAGCCAATGAGCACAGCTCAACTTGCAGTATATCACCGCTGCTTGCTCGGAAAAAACAGAATGATCAATACACCATCATCACTAGTTACCTCAAGAAACTGTTTCCAACCATTATGGGTTTTCTCATGAAGTTACATCTTCATGTGTTGTTCATAGTGAATCACTTTTGATTCAGTCATTCCATCATATGGTGTATTGAACAATGCACCAAACAGTTAAGTTGGTGAAAAACTGTATTTATTAGTTCAGCTTTAAAGTACTGATTTAGTCCTGCATTCAGTATGCTGCAGAACAACCACAGTAAATGGTCAGGCAAAACCACAAAAGAACTAAACCATTAGATTTTATCAAGCTGAATATTGTAGAAAATCAAAACATGAGGCACATTTTCAGACACTTTAATCTTTGTCATGCTGGTATCAAATCATGTTAACTTCATTATGTGTGTTTATGTCTTCTAGGTGGACTGCTGGGCGCTGGGGGTGTTGCTATATGCCCTGGTCTACAGCAGTATGCCATTTGATGGAGCCAGTCACACAACGCTCACAGAGCAGATCAGCCAAGGTCGCTACCGCAGACCCAATCCCCCCTCAGGTAAACCTGTACAGTACCCATGTCTCTAACAACATTATATGAACATTTCTTTTCACCAGAATGTCGGATATGATTGCTTTGTTGGTTGTTCTTATTAATATTCTGTTAATTATATTGTTTTAGTCAGTGTGGCTGCTATAAATAACTGTTGACTCTGTTCCCTCCAGACGCCTGTGCTCTTATCGACTGGTTGTTGACGGTGCGTGTGGACGAGAGGGCTACGATAGAGGACGTGGCCAACCACTGGTGGGTGAACTGGGGTTTTGAAGAGAGTGTTTGTGACTGCCCTTCATCTCCACACCCAGAATGCCCCTCCCCACTGCTGGCTCGCTACATCGACTGGCAGAATAGGGTGGCAGCTAGCAGCAACATGACTGTCGACCCAGGGTGCCTATCCTCAGACCCTTCCTGTCCACCTCAGCTCTCTCCCCACCCCTTTTTCTTCAGCTTACCTGTGAAGAGTGACCGTGGAGCAGGAGGAGGAAGGGTACGCGGAGGAATGTCAAGCCTCAGGAAGTCACGCAAGGAGAATGCAATTCCCCAGACTCCAGTGGGAGCTTGTGGTGGTGTCTGTGCAACAGCTGCCTCGTCTGCTGTGATTTCCGCCACTTCCACCACTGAAAGAAAGAAACCTAAAGGTATTTTGAAACCCCAGAGGAGTTTTGACTCAGTCTTTCACAGTCCTCCTAAAGAAAAGTCTCCCACCCAACCGTGTAACGCTGCTCCTCAGACTTATCGAACACACACACTTGCCCACACACATGCTGATGTCATGTCCACTAGTCTGCCACCTCCCTCTACATTCAGTCAGCCCTCATCCAAAATGCCAAAGAAGGGGATACTAAAGAACTTGTATGGAGGAGAGTCGGGTTATGGCTCATCCTCAGAAAGAATAATCTCTGGAGCGGGAGTTAAAGAGAGGGATGCAGGTGATTTGTGCTCCCACAAACAGCATACTTGTCTCCCAGCGGCAGAAGACAGCCCCACAATGCGCACAGAGGCAGTAAGAAGACGGAAGGGTATTCTGAAGCGTAATGGCAAGTTCTCTCGCAGTCTGGATCTTCCTGATGACCACCACTCATCTCCCTCTTCAGCCCCTACAATATTCCCAGAGGCTTTACAGCAGCTCCTCCAGGCAACAGGGGGTGCAGAGGGCCGCCGCAGCCGCCCCTCCAGTGTGGTGAGCGAGGATAGCCTCTTCTCCTCCGATTCCTTTGACCTGCTAGACCTCAGTGCCCAATCACGCCGTAGGATTTTCTCCCGGGGGATGCAGCACAGTGCCTGCAGCTCTGAGGAGGACCTGGAGCTTCTTAGAGCTGAGGCGGACAGGGTTGGTGGAAACAGAGAAGGACAAAAGGAAATGCTCACATAAGCCTAAGGAATGACCGACAAATCCATGTGGTGGAAAATTTGGCTGAACACCAGTTATTTAGTTCAAGTTTCTGTGATAATCACTGCCTGCCATCTTGAAAAGACTTCACTGAACTCTGGAAAGGTTGCATATCGAGTATGTGGACTCTACTGTGCATTGTACTGTCAGTGTAAAGCACCATTTTTTGGTATATTTGTCTGTATTAAATGATAAACTAAAACTGTATTCATTGCCATTTAAATTATGCGAGGCAGCACATTGAGAGATGAGACAAGTGACACCTGAAGGGAATCCAATATCTGCCAAATTGCAGAGATGGGACCTGAATGTGGCAGAATGTACAGTCCATTTAATGAATTCACTCTGACCTCACCTGCACAATATCCTTTTACAGCAGATTTCTGTTCAGATGTTCCTTGAAAATCTGGAGTCTGGGCTGTAATCTGGTAAAGTTAGCACTGTAGGTTTTTGGAAACCATCTCGGGCAATCTTGGATATGTGATTCCATGTTTGTGTCAACACTGACAATAAACTGGAATACATTTAAGTGTGTTTCCATCCACCTGCTCATATGGCCATTTTGCACATAATAACCTGGTAAAAATGCAAAAAACTTTTTGTTTTACATTTAACTGATGTGAAAAAGTTGGTATATCAATTAAAAGTAAAAAGACAAGTTGCATTAGAAACAGACTTAATGAATAAACCCTGATGTGTGAAACGGAAACATCAGATGTTTGTGGAGTGAGGAGACTGTACCATTCCTCACATTAATTATACACGACACAAACATTGCCGCATTTCCATCATTGCTTTCCACTGTTTGAGGTTTGACTTGCACTCTTCTTCTGCAATGGTTTTAATGGCACCAGACTGGAGAATTAGAATCGTTTAGCTTGATGCGCTCAACTCCTAATATTCACATAATGCTAGTCGATGGAAACACATTTTCTGGAAATTCTGTTTAAAGTTTGTGCTAATTTGGATTGAAACCTGACTAAAGACAGCTCCATTGTGAGGATAAATTCTGCTAAACTGAACTGAAAGTACTTCACGGTAACACTTTATTTTACCCTATTTTATGAGCTCTATATAAATATATTAATAAATGGCTTATAACTCACTTAAATGTAGTTGTAGCTATTCATCAACAATTATAACTAGCCTCCACTTATTATGAGTGGTAAGTATTTATTAAATAAATTAAATTAAATTTATTAAAATAAATGCTTATATCTGCTTACAACTACAATATAGTGTGCTATGAACCATTAATTAAGTGGTAATATACTGCCTATGCATGATAAATATAGGTGAAGTTAAAGTAAAGTGTTACCTACTGTATTGTATCACATGTTACTGAGTATATTTGTATTACACAGTAATGTACTGTGCACAATTTGCTCCTTTGCACCAACAGACACTGTAAATAGCAGATGGATCACATTGCTTTTTACCGTGACACCACCAATGCTGCTGTGGAGATTTAAAGAAGTGATGTATGCAGTAGATGTAATTTCTCTGTCATTTTCATACTGTGAGAAAATAATTCTGTTAACTTTGTTCAAGCATTTCATACTTTTTTTTGAAAAATGTAATAAATTATGTGAAACAAACTGAATACTTTCCAGTTGTTTTTCTGGTGAGAGAACAAGAAAAGCAGTAGGAGATGGGAGACAAAATGAACACATAATGCATCTTTAAAAAGAGTAAAGATAAATATTATGAAACACAGATGTTCTGTGAAAAATGACATTTTAAGACAAATCGCCCTTTTATTCCAAATGTTAATTCTTCTCCATAGTTAAGGACCCTTTCTTCTTTGGCTGTGAGCATGAAACAATACAGAGAATTCAAGGAACGTTGTTTATGAAAGACCAAAAGCTATCCATTTAACTGACTTTCAGAGTCCTGTGTCTCCATAAACAGAGTTCTATTTATCCTACAGACTGTTTTCATTATGGTTCATGTACTTACATAAAAATTCATTTGAAAGAAGAAAACACACAGAACAGATCAGATAAGGCTTAGGTGAAAACATTTAAACACTGTTTAAGGTTTCTGAAATCAAGATATGCCACTTCACTTGATCATTTTGTATTAAAGAGAAGTAAGCAAGGAAGCACTGAGTATGACACATGCATGCTTTCCCTTTGTTTCCTTTATTGGTTTTTCACTAAATACTTTCCTAAACACAGAACACCTGTTCTGCAGGCCTCTCCCCTGTCTAATGGAGAAAGCCCATCATCACTGTCAAGTAAAAACCTCATATCTCTAGGTTTTGTGCTTTAAGATATATTCAATGAATACATTTCCCTCTACAGATTCTCCAAACTCTTATAGGCCCATGAAATCCCTTCAAGGTGTATTAAGTATTTAAAATCTGTATTTGTTTTAAATGTGTTTCTTATTTCCTGAAAAGCTTCCCATTCAGACATACAAGTTTTCACAGTGTTAAGATGAAACAAAGCAAAGCTCACCGGCAGGTCTTGTTTAGATGTGGAGACGTCTGGTATGGCTGACATATACACAGACCTTACTTTATACCACCCACTTGCATGGTTTTAGCACATTTAAATGTTCTTCCTTTTGCAACACATAGTCTAATGACTTTAATATTAATGGTTGATTGATGGCAGAAAAGCAATTTGTTCATTTGGCTGGTGGTGGATGAAGTGCAGAGCAGAAGTCGAAGGCGCATGATAGCTCACCTGGTAGAGCCCATGGCCTATGTAAGATAAGAGATAAGATAAGATATTCCTTTATTTATCCCCCTTAGGAGAAATTCAGGTTGACACAGCAGCAATAGGGCAAAGTAGTGCAAAACAGAGAAAATCAAATGATTTCTGGCCCAGGTCTGAAGCACCCGTTGATAGAATTTATGAATCAAGCCAACAATACATAATTCCTAGCGAATCAGAAATATAAGTGAATAAATCTGGTATTTTAACTATAAGGAAATGTGTGAATGATTAGAATCGTGATAGATTAAACATACTGTACTGGTTGACCTTAAACTAGGTATACAGATGTAAGACTAGCTACAACTTTTTAAAATAGGTTCAAACGCAGCATAATTGTAAATGTAAGGCAAATTTTACATTACTGGAATTTAAATACAGACTTTTGATGAGTTGGAGTTCTGTTGTTGTTTTATTTGCCTACTTTGTCCAATTTTGTCTTCTCAAAATACATTCAAACTAAAGCTACTGTTCCCTAACTGCTGAGCCCCAGTATCAACCTACAACCAATAAAGTCCGGCTTTTGCATCTCAACGTACTTTTATCCACGTGAGGAACAGAAGAAAAGCCTCTTGGCTGCAAGACTTAGCTGTGAACCTTTGTATTAGCAATCATTGCAGATATTTGAATACTTAACATCTTTAATATCTTTGCCAATGAGTCATGCAGTTGAGTAAATTGTCAGTTGTGATTGACAGGAGGTCCTCACACAATTTATATGCTTTAAGCTGCTGTTACCCTGCAGTTTATTCTCCTATTAAAGCATAAGTCTTGTTTTTAGCTTCTTGAGCCGTCAGTGAAGGAACCATGGGATCATACAGCTTACTAATCAAGGACTGATTATTATTTAATTCTACTTGTACAGTTAGTTTTATTTTTTATTTTAGTCAAGTTTAATTTCCTGCTCATATTTTCACTCCATGTCCTATTGAACAATGCATAGTGTATATACTTTAATTATGTTTTAGATCTACTATTATATTTGTATATTTTTAATTTGTG